CCTTGCCTTGCCTTGCCTTGCCATGCCATGCCATGCCATTCCATTCCATTCCATTCCATTCCATTCCATTCCATTCCATTCCATTCCATTCCTTTTCTTTTTTTGTTTCTTTCTTTTCCTTCCTTCCTTCCTTCCTTCCTTCCTTCCTTCCTTCCTCCCTCCCTTTTTCATTCCTCCTTTCTAAATAGAATGTCTGATCTAAAAGCAAGAAAATGAATGCAAATAATTGGACCTTAGTCACAGAATTCATAATCCTTGGTTTTCCTAATGTCCGTGAAGTGGAACTGCTATTTTTCTTCCTCTTTCTCCTGATGTACATGCTTATGCTTGTTGAGAATATTATCATCATATTGGTGATTCAACTGGACTATCGACTTCAAACCCCCATGTATTTCTTCATTGGAAATCTCTCTTCTTTGGACATTGCTTTCACTACTGTCACTGTGCCTAAAATGTTGGCCAACATTGCCACTGACAACAGAACAATATCCATCCCTAGTTGTTTTACTCAACTCTACATCTTCTATTTTCTCGGTTCCTCTGAATGTTTCCTGCTAGCATCGATGGCTTATGACCGATATCTAGCTATTTGCAACCCGCTCCAGTATACCACTCTGATGAATAAGCGCACATGTGTTTTGCTGGCCTTCTGTTCCTGGTTTGGTGGCTTCCTGGCACCTGTGTTGCCCACGACCTTCCTTTTCCAACTTCCTTTTTGTAGATCAAATGTCATCAACCATTTCTTCTGTGATGCTCCACCTATACTGAAACTCTCCTGCAAGGACATATTTGTGGCTGAAGTTATCAATTTCATTGTGGGGTCAGTTGTGTTGCTATCCTCCTTCTCCTTCACAATTGTCACATATATCTTTATCATTAACACTATACTGCACATCCCTTCGGCTGAGGGGCAAAAAAAGGCATTTTCCACATGTGGTATGCATCTCACCATTGTCTTCATATTCTTTGGTACCACCATCTTTATGTACATCCGCACAAAGACAATCCATGCTTTTAACTTCAACAAGATAGTCTCTGTGTTCTACTCTGTTGTAACGCCTGTCCTTAACCCTATCATCTATAGCCTGAGAAATAATGATATTAAAGAAGCAATGTTGAATATGCTGTTCTACAGGAAGGGATCCATGTTCAGGTGGTAATAAAAGTAGACAATTCATGGTTTACAGACTGAAAGCAGTCCTGAAACCCAAAGTTGTGCCCCCTAGCCTCTCAAGATATTTTATCTTTTCTTAAATATATGTTACTAACTGCAGAATTAATAGCCGTAGCATCAAGTACATTAAGATTTTTAACTAACTGGGCATAAAATCCCAAGTATCAGGAATCTGGAATCATCAGCAAAGGGAGATGATAATGACTTCCAGACACATGTTGATGAAGATTCTCAGTCATCCAGGTGGAATTATCTGGAGGTTGAGTCATGGCAACTGGACTTATTTTCTTTTGTTCTGATATGTTTCACTGTTTGTCCAAGCAGCTTCTTCAGTCTAGAAAGTTGGGTAGGAAGGACCCCATAAATATCTTCCAGGATGGCTGAGTTTCTCATTAACATGATGGGCTCATTGAAGAGAGAATAGGAGATGTGATTAGTACAGTCTTTGGGATGTGGATGTCTTGCTCCTAATCCCTCATTCATCAAGCAAAAATTTTCAGACCCAGACGTGTTAGTTATTGCTTGAAGATGTGCAGGCCTGTCCCTATTGACACTTATACCTTAATTACATTACAGCAGCTGAAATACTGGAGAGCTCTGCTATGGGTCTGCATTATGCATCACATTCTTTTCTGAGACTAGAACCTGGAGTGGTGACTTGAATGTGGCTCTGCCTCTGGAATTTAAAATTGCTAACTTGGTAACACTGTTAGTTACCTATGTTAGGTACTCATGGATCCTTGCTGATTTACAGTACTTTGGGTTATCTGCACCCTATCTGATTTTGCTCAGCCTTGGCAGACCCTGGTCTGAATTGTAACAAAGTTCCTAAGCACTGATAACAAGACTAACCTAAATATGCCTCCACCAATGTTGCTACTAAACCTGATTGGGACACTGTTTTCCCATGCTTACATATTTAGTAAATATTCTTAGCCCATCTCATAGAAGAGTGTTTACTTTTCCCCAATATAATGTTTTGCCATCCTTGCCACTAGAAGGTAGATATAACAATATCCCAGCATAGGTGAAACTTTGTTCCTGTTTGTTGAAAGAGATAGAAATGGTCTCACTTATGCATTTGTGTTGCCCCTTCTACATGGAGTGGTGAATTAATAAAACTTCTGTTAATACATTTTCACCACCATCTAAGAAGCTAGTTTCCTACTCTTGGCAGACTGGTGTTTATTTCTGATTTTTCCAGAAAAGCCTCCAAATTTATTGCAGTTATTATTGCTATTGGATGCTCAACTGTATAGCAGTTTTTAATAATTGTCTATATAAAGTTGTATAAATGCCTTAATATTTATAATCAGTTTTATCATTTTTCTGGTATGTTTGCCTTTTACCATAATTCAAATAAATTCATATAGCTTAACATCAAATAATAACATCATGGTTTTCCATAAGTATGGAATAAAATAGAATAGGTTCGTTCATTCATTCATTCATTCATTCGTCAGATTTGTATACTGGCAAATTCACGCAATCTCGTGACAGTTTACAGAATCACTATGAAAGCATCCATCGTTCAACATAAGCCAGAAGCATTCATAATACAACTTAAGATAAAAGCAATAAACATCCACAAAAAAGTAAGCATAAACAAAACATACATAATAAATGAATCACATTAAAAACAATACTTACTAACAATTAAAATCTAGAATAACCTGAAACAAGCCTTAGCTAACAATATTAGTTGTTAGTAAAAAAAAGAAAAAGAAAAAGAAAAAGAAAAAGAAAAAGAAAAAGAAAAAGAAAAAGAAAAAGAGAGAGAGAGTCTTTTTTTGTTTTTGTTTTTTGCTTTTTGCTTCAGGATTTACTGTAGATCGAAGAAATAAATTGTGAGGAAAATTTGATGGTACACTTTGAAAACTTGAAAGTTGTCTGTTATTTGTTAAGCTAATGGCTTGGCTAAAACAAAATCCAGATTGTTTAGGGCCTTCTTACACACACACACACAGAGTACAATATGGACAGATAGCCAACAAATCTGAAATATCATATGATACTTAAAGATAATTGGTTAACACACAAATGTACATTTGCGGGGGGGGGGGATTTTTTTGACTTGTTATTCATGAATGCCCATCTTTCTTTGAATTATTAAATAGATCTACCACTTTAGAATGCATATCGAAGGGATCACATCAGGCTTATATCACTCTATCTACTTGCTGATAGTTAATGTGAGAGGGGGAAAAAAAGCAAACACTGA